CACACTCCCACCCTTTCCTCATTCTTGCCGATCCAGCAGAATATCCCCGATGCCGTAGTAGTGTCCTTACCCTGAACAAAAGAAATCAGGTGACCCTATTGGGATCCAATAGACATGCATACTCTCTCTTACACACACAATTCATCTATCAGTATCTGTCAATGTGTTTCAGTGGAGTGGTAAATAAGGAACTGGCTGAGCTGCTGCATTGACTTGTTATAGGAACCCTTGGTCTGTTTGATTACATGTAACATACAAGAGCTGTGAAACAAAGCAGTGGTGGCAGGTTACAATTCCCTCATCACCTGCTCCGTCCCACTTGCCTTTACTCGCCTCCAATTTTCTTTCTGTCACTCCCTCATCCACTGTTCCTTGCTTTTGCTCGAGCTCAGCCTCCCCTATTCGTCACCTCTCAACCTGACACACCTCTTCTCTATTCTCTGCTTGTAATGCATCTTTTTTTTTTTTTTTTGGATGAGACTTCTCTTTCTCCCCCCCTTCCTCCATTAATTCACCTTCAGGCCCCTGTGCCTCTACCTTCCCTCCCATCTTAGCCTTCCTCTCGTCTCTCCTGAAAATGACAGTGTCCCTGAGGCCTCGACGGGAGAATGTCGCAGCGCTATGCCTGCCATCATCACAAATCACTCTGACCTTTCATACTCACAGAGGTCACAGTCATCTGATCCAACACGCACAGGTCCAAGGCTGTCCTTGCCAGCCAAAGATGGACCGATGCATTGGGCCCAGCAGTGGCAGCAGAGCAGAAATAAGCCTGCATCAATCACAGACAATTAGTCCCAATTGATGCCTGGGAGGGTGGAGTGCTACTCCATTGCCAGTCTGGCAATTGCTGGTAAACCCAATATTAGTCAATCAGATTGCTTCTAAGTACTAATTATATGATTCAGTAATCATATGACATATGAGCGGAGTTTAATAATGAATAGTCACTTTGATTATGTTGTGTTCAAGTCAGCAGTAAACAGAAATAACAGGGCCTTGCGTCTAGATATATCAGGTTTTATATCACTGGAGTTATAAAAAAAAACCAATAACAGTTAAGTAAGCAGTATGCCTGAGATGTTACAATTTTTAATTTCACTCTACAGATTGTCCCTCTCCCAACTAATAATGGAAAAAAGGAATTTCAGGATTTTTAAAATCGCAGCAACTCACTCGCCACACAGAACATTCATAATAGATGATTCTGCAAAACCTTGATATTTTTAAAGTTGGTTACTTTACTAAAAGAACTTTGTTAATGTTAGAGAAAGATTGCGGTTATGTAACGCATAACTGTGGTTAAGATATGATTAAGGTTAGACAACCAAAATGCCCGCTAATGCTTATGGACAGATTGTGGTCAAGGAAAAAAAAAATTGCATGCATTTAAAGTCTATAAAAAGATGCAAGTGGAAGAAAAAATCCTCCAGGGCTATGCAAATTGAGGTGAAGATACAACTGTTGAAAGCTGAAAACGTTTCAGCAAATTTGAGCTAATGCCGAGACCTTATGGCTCCACTTTAAAACATACGGAGACAAGAGGAAAAGGAGAAAAACTGGAGAAAAACAAAAGAATCAGAGTTCCTAGAACGTTCGGAGATCAGTGATATGCTGAGCTGTCGAACAAACGCACACAGCCGCAGGCTCAATGAGTACGTTGAGACAGAATTAAAGCTACAGTCTCCGGCGTTTAGCGTTTTCATACTCTTCCACCAACCTAAAACTCCACAACTTATACCGTTTGCTTTCCTATGCAAGACTTCCTGCACTGACACAAAACATTAGCAGTGGACATAAATTGTGTGCTACAGTATAAAACTATGCTGGCTATTACAAGCATATGGGAATTCCTTTGAACCAAACACTTTCACAAAGGCTTTATGAGGCTTTTGCAGCACTTTTAAATCTGATTTATAGACTTTCACATTGCCAGAGTTCTCTGAAACATAGTACACTTCCCAGCTATCGGTGGATATTTTTCCCAGTGTATGATTGTGACATGTTTAAGAGTTTAAATAAAACTAAAAATAAACTACCCCTGCATCACAAAGCATTGTGGTTGAAAATATCAGCTGTGAATTTGAAATGACACTTGACATGAGAGGTTTTGGAAGCACAGCGGCGTAATAAGGCTGCAGGTAAACAATAAGCTGAATGCCTGCCACGAACATAGTGCAGTCGCCCCGGCCATTCTGACACGACGAGGCATCAAACAAAGCTACGGCCGCACAAACAGGATGATCCCGCAGGTTACGCTGAGACTCTCTCGCTCTCAATCACTCCGCTCCTCTCCATCACTCTGCCTCTATTGTTCTGTACCTAGCTTGTGCCCTCTCTCGCTCTCTCAGCTTGCTGCAGAATGGATGGATGCAGAGGAAGGGAGGGAGGGAAAGAGGGAGGAGAGGGGAAGTAAATGAGATCCCGATGAGATGCCAAGGTGTGTTAGCGGTGAGGCGTGGGGAATGAGAAAAGCGACCTGAAGGGAGGGGGAGTGGCTAGATTGACTGTGTGTGAGGTGCTGGTGTGGGATAGTGGACACTCAGCTCAGAGCCCCCCCCGTAATGGTGTTTGCTAACTCAGCTCAGGATGCGGGAGGCATGTACAAGAGAGGATGGAGAGGGAGAAAAGGAGAGGAAGAAGAGGAGGATGACATATGAGAAGACAGAAAACAGGAAAACAGAAAGAAGAGTAGACCACAAACGGGAAGAACCTCTCACATAGATGCAACACAGGAAAACGCTGTTGGCACACAGGGAGAAATGAGAGCAAAGACAAACACAAGGGGCCACGTAAAACTGAATAAAAGCTACTAAAGCGCACAAAGACTGTCTGCAAAAAGAGACATTTCACGAGAAGTGATCAAAGAGCCACATAAATACTGTAATATAATATAATATAATAGGAGGTTTTAAGAGATACTCTCAAAATCCCTAACACAGGGAAGACTTATGCACTCACTTCTTTTGTTAAAGCAAAGCTCTCACAGCAGAGTTCGCACTCCAACAGAATACAGGTAGTCGGGTAGGTAAATTGGCTCAATTAATATGGATATAATGGAAGTGAATTTAAAAGAAGGAAATATTCTCCCCAGTGTTTTCTCTATCTCCCAAATCCTTACGAACAGCAAGAAGAATTGCTGCCAATACCAGCCTTCAGGAGCACATTGCTTTCACAGCAATTAATCGCTGTCACAACATCAATTAAACAAAAGCTAGCATCCAAATCCGGCTACCCAGCATTCCAGGGAACCAAATCAATCTGGCAATGAGTCCGTGTGTGTTCCATCCAATGCTTGAAAGGAAGTGTGTGTGTGTGTGTGTGTGTGTGTGTGTGTGTGTGTGTGTGTGTGTGTGTGTGTGTCGCGCGCACAAAAGAGCCCTTAAGTATCAAGAAATGTCACCCCATGCATGTGTGCACAGATGTGTATTTTACATGAGAAAGCTTGCATGCAAGCAGAACATGTACATGTCAAGTGAGTGTGTGCATTTGATCCTGAGTTTGCGTGTGTGTGCCAGTAATGCATCAATGTATGTCAATGATGTATGGCTGTGTGAGTGTGTAAGCGTGCCAAATGTACTTTTCTGGAGTACATATAGGTTAGTGTATATGTGAGTGTGTGATTGGCACATGCATGTGTGTGTATCCAAAATCCACTCGGCTATACCTTGCCCATAAAGCCCCTCTTTAGGAGGAGCCCGGGGGTCTGAAGGCATTATGTTCTTTTCCATTTCACAATCTCGGAACTGATTAGGATCACCTCCCTGGCTTCACCTAAGCCAGCCGGTGAGAAACACACACTGTGTTAGAGTTTGAGCTGATATAAGTTAGGAGATTTACAATAGCTTGGCTAACTTGTGACTGCAGAAAGTATTTATCTGTGGCAATGAGCCAGGCTGCCGGTAAACTGTTGGACCACAGCAGCTCCTTCACTCTCTGACACACTTCAGTGCAGATGCAAAGGGGCAATTAAACAAGCCAGTAATCCAAATCCCGATCCCACATCAGCATTAAATCTAGATGAACCACTCAGTGAATCCTACATTGTTCCCCTCCATTACTGCTTTGATAATTATTCTTGGCTGATGGAAAGACAAAGGAAGGAACTGAGAAAACAGCTGTACTGCTGTTTAAAACTGACAGAAGGGATACTTATTAGAGAAGAACTGTGTTGGAAAACGGAGGAGAGTTGCATGCAGCGGGGTGAGCAATAAAGCATCAGCCTAATGCGCCCTGTCGTCCGTGCCACAGCATCAGTGACTGTTAGAGTATGAAAAGACAAAGAAACCAGTTGCACAAAGATGCCGTGACAAAAGCCCACCACACAATCCAAATCTTTGTGACAACAAGACCGAGGATTTCTTTCTCATAAGGCGAACGGCTGCCTGAACGAAACTGACTTTTCCTCTCCGAATAATTCAGAAACTGGATATTAGGGCAGACAGTGGCTCTACTATGTGCCAACAGAAATGTATTGTACTCATTTTTTGTCTTTAGAACAAAATCAAACAACTTCAGTAATTTAGGTCATGATCTGAAATTTTGGACGGAATGCTGCAAATAATGAATTGTACGTTTTTTTGGTAAGCTATTGTAATAAAATGTTATAATTATATTTTTGGATTTAGCAGCAATTAAGTGACAAAAGAATCTGACAACCTAAATAAACCATGTTTGTCCCCATGTTCGGGTTATCTGGGGGGAAAACGCGCTGAGTTCCCAGAGTACAAATGCGTAAATCTGTCAGCTTTTTAAGACTCGTCTCTCCATGATCAGAGGAAAAAAAGATGTTCTCTTTCACAAGTGCGGTTTGAACGTTTAAATACTGTTTTAACTCCACTCCCCTCTCATCATTACAATGCACCTGCTTCCCCTTACAGGACAAGCGCAAATGCCAAACTATCTCCGCCACGGACATCTGTCTGTCGATCAACACGCTGCCCGCTGCGGAGACCGGTTTGGATACAAGCGAGCCAAAAAAGAAAAACATTTTCACATACCTTCCTCGGCGAGACAGTCTTCCTTTAGGTTCAGCAATAATATCCAAAGCACCGAAATCAGCGTTTTACGGAGATCCATGTTTGTCTGGCCAGTTCCGCGGGGCTCTTGTCATCTCTCTCCAGCCTGCGCGCAACGCACCGCAGCAGAGACGCACTCAGTGTTTGAGCGGAGCCGTAGCCGTCTGGGCAAATAGTGCAGGATCCAGGGAGCCACGCGGTCTATTTGATATCTCGGGGGAGGGTTTTACAGCCGAGATTGACACTGTGCGAGCGCAATGAAGTGGGATATGGAGTCGAGGGTACGGGAGGGTCGACCTATCAAGGAGCTGCAACCTGAAATCTCCGCGCCAGGTGTTTCCACTATAGTCAACAGAGTCAACCCCGCAGCAGTAGCTTTTCTGCAGACTGGCTGCTTATAGAGTGGAGGGGGTTCAGTTAGTTAGGACCTAGGTTTGTGGATGTGGTATCATGGGCTGTTAGAGAGTACAGTGTTTAGTGAGGATAACATTCCTCTGCTCAGTATCTTGGGTCTAAAGATTCAGTAGGGATGCAGGTGGTCCTCAGTTTAGTGTTATTATTATTACATTTGCACAGAGGTACAGTCTGTGATTTAAATATGACAACGCCACATCCACCAAAACTCAAAACACATATGAAGCTGTCGAACTGACTGACTGCTACCAAATCTTAGTTTAATCTAGTAAAACACTTTTTTTTATTATTAACAGTTGACAAACTCTTGAATTGTATAGTCTATTAAACTGTAATTTATATGGACAAAATGTAAAGAATCCGACATTAAAGCCATTATGTGTAGAATTACAACATCTTTGACCGATAACACTCACAGATCTGACCTGGGAACATTGGTTTAATGGTCATTTTTAAAGAAGTACAGATCAAGGACCAATGACAGGTGCTACAGCATTTACAGCAGAAGCTATAGTTTTCAATGCCAGTTCCATCCTATATATCTGTATCAGTGTCCCCAAATTCATTAAGAAATAGAAACACTGACAAGCCTACTTGGGCAAACATTCTTACTCAACATCTACAGTAACACAGCAGAATTAAATCAGTATAATTGATATAGTTGAACATTTTACACTCTTCTTTTCACACATAGTCCACAAATTGACTTGAGATAATTTCTGTAATGGAAATCACTTCCTTTCTCAGGGAACTATTGATCTGATGCTACTTAAAGTGAGCAGACATGTTCATAGTATTTCGCAGCAAGCAAATGTTATCGAGCTTTTCCACTGGGTTTGTGTGTGCCTCTTCAGACGGTAGGAGAGCAAGATAAATTGAAACATGGAGGTGCTGTTTCAAGGGTTTGCATCATTGTAACACATAGACTAAACTTAACAGTCCCTTGCTCTATTTCTCATTGTCGTAGTCACATGCACACACCGAAAGCATACACGCACGTACACAAGCATTGCAGTGAATTGATCATGGTCACAGTTTATCTTGGAAAGCAATACAGTTCCTTGCTGATTGACAAGCAGGATACTGTTTTTTTGTTTTTGTTTTTTTTTGCAAAGACAAAACTAGTGATGTGCACACAGGTTAAATCTCCAATCAATTCAGTATTTTCTGAGTCCTGAAAGGAGAGGGCTGCAGGAGATTCAAATAGCTGGTTCATTCAAAATTTCAAAAAGATTGTCGACAGAGCTCACCAAGTACATACAAATACTGTTCAATTTAATTGAATTCAGCTAAAATGTTTCTGTATTCTTTTTTTGAAATAACAATTTAGGCCAAGTGGCTCGGTAAATTACAATTCTGTTCTCGAAAAAGTCCATTCATTAGTCATTGTTTTTAATTAAATGATCTTTTTACACTGAAATGCACTGCTTCCTGAATATAAACCTAAATGCAGAGTTCAGGTTCCACTTATTTTTCAGTTTTTGATCAGTGAGTCAGGTTCAAAGGCTAAATCTGAAACTTCCTCAAAAACATAAACTGGCCTTAATGATATTGAGCCTCTTGGCAGCTCTTCAGTATGTACCGCCAGCCTTGGCTATTTAGCTACTTTTCAAACTTTAATGACGTGCTAATGAAAAGGCTAGTCAGCACACCTAATTTTCCCCTTAAGCAAGCCCTGCAACTGCCGGACATAAAACAGCTCTGTAATAAATGTAATAAGTACTTTTAATACCGCACACACTCAAACCCGTCTGTGTGCAACCTTATGCGCGCACACACACACACACACTGTACACACTCCCTCCTATGCTCCATAATCAACGGTAAGACTCATTATCATGGTTGTCACCCAGCCCCCTCTCCCTCCATCACTGCCCTCTCTACTCAACCACAGGCTCACACACACACGCACACACACACCTAAACACACACTCACACACAGATTATGGGCCATCAGCCTGACTGATCCTCCCCTGCAGGGGGGCTGGTAGCCTCAGTTCTGGGAGCTGATGAACATGATCATCTGTCCTCCTCTGTGGTCATTACTCACCAAGGACAGAGGGCAACAGCCCCATTCACTCACACTGTGTCTCTCCCCTCACAGTCCATTACCTACAATGCACACAACACTCTCCTTTGTGCTCTCAGTCTCACATCACATATCTGCCACTAACACACCTGCTAAATTTCAAAACAAAAACTTTATGTGTCACTTTTTGTATGTTTTTACCATGACTTTAAGCACTCACTGTCATTTGCGTTTTCTCATTTGAATTCTTAGGTTTAAAGGATGCTGTTTTTCCATATTAATCTGATTATAAACAAAATCAGTGAAAAGCCCAAAACCAACAATGTATTAGAGTCTGAATATTTTCTGTCTTCCCTACTCTGTCTGTGGCACTAAGCCCATCTGTTCCTTCTGAAAACGTAAAACTTTTAATCAATCAGGACCAAATTTGCTCATATATATTTTAAACTATTTTCAACTGTGCATTAAAGCACCAGAATGTAGGATTTAGTGGTATCTAGCGGATTGCAGCCCCCTCACATTACCACTTCCAAGCAAGAGGGAGAAACTATGGTGGCCAGGATATTTGTGGATATAAAAGGCTCATTCTAAGTTAAGTTAACCTAAATATTTTCAGGTGATTATACACTAATGAGAACATAGTTATGCATATTATATTCCATTTCTGTCAATAGATCCTTTACCAGTTACACACTGGAACTTCAATACACACTAGTGAGTGGTTTTGGCAGCAGGACAATAATCACAAAACAGAGAAAAATAACTATAACTGTTCTATGCCCACATTTATTGTAATGAAGGAACATGTCACAGGTGGCACAGTATGGGTCACTGATGTGTTTAAAAAGTTTTCTTTAACAGCAATTGGGGCACTATGACACAGAAGAATAGGCTATATCAGCTTTAGCTCTCCACACATGCCCACACACGATGGCTGAATTTGCTGCAACGCCCTCCCACCCCCCCACCTATGAGTTTGCATTATTGATCAGGAGCACTATCACCAGGGAAAATAAAAAAAGATGTAAATCACAACCCGGTAGCGTAGAGGGGGTGTGAGCGGCAGCCTTGAAGCAGTAAATAGATGTCAATTCCAGCCCACATAAATGTATATTCTGCTCAGTTTTGCAGGTTCATTACTATGCGACAATTTCATGCTGATGCTCGCCACTGGCCCCACCCTCCCTGCTCCTCCTCACATGCACATTAGAGAGAGAGGAGATGAGGAGGAGGAGAAGAGGGAGCAGAGTCACTTGACCTTTTCTGTTCCCTGGCTGTTTCCCAAGTCAACCAAGCAGAACGAGGGAGGAACAAAGACATAATGAGAGAAGAGGTGTGTGAGGGTTTGCATGAATACGTACATACACCCTCAGCCGTGCAAGTGACTGTTAAAGACTACATCCACTCTAAGATGGCTAAATCTGAAAATGTTTACAAAAAGACATGAGGCTTTGTAAAGTTCCCCATTCACACCCAAACACTGCACAAAACAAGAGCTAAATACAGCTACATTTCTTCTTCCAACTCTTTCAGTAAGCAAACAACAAAGCAGCCATCATCTGGTAAAGAGGCAGACAGGCTCCATCCCTTGGGGCTAAGACGTGTACCATGTAAACCACAATGTTCAATTCCAGCTGGGGATCTTTGTTGCATGCCAACCCCCATGTCTTCACATTTCCTGACCACCTGACTTCTCAACTACACATCAAGAAGAGGCAAAAATGTCAAAATAATTGTCTTCCTCTTCCACTCTATGCCCTCCATCCTCCATGATCACCTACTGTATAGTGTGTTTCAATATGATGAATAGGTTCTTCAATATGTTTTCCAAAAGCTTTGTTTTTCACCAACCACAGTTAAACACGCATCTTGCATTTTCAGATGTATCGGATCTGTAGAGAGTTTTCAAAAGCTCACTTTTCATATGCGAAGAATGTCAACTTGGTGTGGACAGAATGCCAAAACAGAGAGAAAAAATGTGTTTTCCAACTGAGTTGACTTGAACCCCATTCAGTCCAACACAGTGACACTGGTCCAACCCTCACACATACCTGAATGTACCAAGGTGTGTCAGCTGACCCTCCTTCATAACCTTCCTCTCAACCAGGGCTGGACACAGGTCGAATGCTGCTCAGCTTTAGTGAACTAGTTTCTATCACAGATAAGAAAGACAAGAGGAAGATAGAAAAAAGGAGGAGAAAGAGAGAAATAGAAGGTGCGCATGTGTGGCTGAACAAGAGAGAGAAACTGAAGCTTGATTTTTATTGGGTGATTATTGGCTGTAATGTTGTGTAATTCTCTGGTTTATCAGGTAAGTAGGGTGAGAGCTCAACACTTAAAATAGAAAAATATACAGAAAACATCTCCTATATTTTCTGTTGTTGTCTGCACTACTGGCAGTGTTTCTGTATTTGGTTGTGTTTTCTCACTTTGCAGCATTTTTTCTACTTGAGTTGACCAGACGTTTTCTTAATTTTTTTTAATTGTGTTTGTGGATTTGCATGTTTTTTCTTAAGTTGCAGTGCACAGAACTCTCGGGGTCACCGTAGATAAATTTATAAAACCACATACAGACTGGAGTCTCTCGCTAATGTTAACAACCAGTGACAGATGTCTTATATGAACCGGTCTAACGCAGGTCCAATACGTGTTGAATAGACCTGGTTTACATGTACTGTATGTCTGGACATGGTGCAGGTTTAACACCCTTGCTGTCCATCCTCTTTCTCCCCCTTCTA